GTGAATTTAGAAAGAAGGAAGGATTATTTTCTAATTTAGCAAAGTCTGGATTTTTAGATAAGAAATCACATTTGGGCTCCATATGACTGTTAAACATGCCAAATTTAAAATGCCAGAGATGTCTAATTCATGCTGCAGACTAGCGATAGTGTGCAGTCATTATGCCAGTTAGATGGAAGCCATTTAAAGGGAAGATAAAACAGAGAGTGGGATGGTACATGAAGACCATTTTAACACTGTGACAGATGAGTACGATCCTGTATTTTCCTATAATATGGGAACAGCACAGTTTATTTTAAACCTAGTAAACAGAAGCTGCAACTATTTACCTTATGTTTCATATCCATCTTTGGAAAAAACTGAAGCCTAATGTTTCAATTTTTTCACTGATGAAACTGCAGCTGCAGAAATACAAAATGTCACACTGGAAACCTGCAGCAAAATTTCTTAGGAAGCTTGCTGAGATTGTCCACCCATGTTACACAGCAGCACCACAACTCTGTAAATAAGGGTCATATGCTGTACTGGCAACAGATGAAGCAGTGACCACACAGAAAAAGTACCCTAGGAAGGTCAAGGACTTTTGGGCAGTGTGCAGTGGCCAAGTCTGTTCTTCACAGACATTTGCTGAATTGAATGTCTTGTGGAACACAGACTTTACCTCCTTTTAAGACCTATGTGGAGCCATAGAAAAGGAATGGCAATAAAGACACAAAATAGCTCAATGATACATTAATCATTATACAAATATCTCCTCACTCACACAAATATCTCTCCACTGTGCAGGATCTTTTACAAAGGGATTTTGGCTAGTATAATAGCCACTAATAAATTGCAGTTAAGGATGACAAAAAAAAGAGGTAAGAGCTGTCTTTATATGGATCAAATAACATCATGCCCAGAAGGCACAGATGCCTCAGAGTGGTTTTCCCTAACTTCCCACATCTTAGCCTGAGACAAGGAAAGCTGTCCATTACATCGCAAATATTTGTTTACACAAGCGGAGCCAGATCCTTAAAGGAAATGGAGATAATTATTCAATGAAAACTGCACTTGCGCTTGAGGCACTGCCTTTCTGCTTCCCTAACACAGGCCATTCTGGCTTCAACTGAGCCTGTAGTTCTGTATCGCAATCCATAGACACGTGAAGGAAACAAGAGTCTCATTGCTGCTCAGTTATTTTGAGGAGGTGTAGGAAGGCAGGAGGCACTTGGCAGCCACTGTCATTGCCCCTGTCAGGGTTTGTCCTGCAAATTTCCCTGCTGGTTCCAGGTGGTTTTAAGTTTTGTTCCTCCCTCTGGCAGTGCCCACCAAAGCCATCGCTCACCTATTACAACGAGGATCTGCCAGCCCAACCGCAGACTGAAGCACAAAGGAAATCAAAAGGCAACAAAACTACAGAAGTGACTAATAGCAATTGAACATGCACAGAATGGGGATATAAACATTCTGTAGGTAATCTGTTTACTGGTTTGAGTGCTTTCTACACCTAGCACATCTCATGTAAAACAAACATTTTATTGGTGATGATACACAACTCTTGTATGTAGTGAACAGATTAAACTGTTTATGTTCAACTGCTGAAAACACTCCAGAAATTGATGTCAATGTCAGAAACCTTATTAGGTTTCAGAAGAGGTAGGAAAGCTTCAGCCTAATCACAAGATAGGAGGCCTCCAGGCTTCTGAGAATGACATCTGAAGGGCATTTAGATTGTTTTCTATAAAAGGAAAGGGCAAATTTCCAGTACATATATAATCACTGGTAGCATTTATGTTGTCATCCTCTCTGAAGCAGTAACAAAGTGCACAAATGGTGGATGATTAGAGAGGTCAGTGAAGTGCTCCATTCAGCTGTAATTGTACAGTTTTTAAAAATTCTTTTGACATCAGAAAATATCATATGTTTTCTTAACCCAGCTTTTTGCCATGATTAGTTAATTCATGCAAAATCAGTGAAGAAACAGAATCGCAAATTAAAAACAGTAAAGCAGGAACGT